TGACAGCTCTGCTCCTCTCTTCACCTGAGTGTCCAAGACATACGGGCACAAATCAAATGATACGATTACAAAGTCGATCATTGTTCTCCGGTCTAAGGTGTTCTAGTACCAGGTACACTTATGTTTGAACATGGTGTTCGTTATGGCCAAACCGTGGCAAGCACAGAAGTCCAATAACGAGACGCCATTCGGGTTCAGATCGGGCAAGCCATTCCTCCCAATCACCCCCCGCCAGGTTTCTCCGTCATTGCCCACGTGAGCGTTGAAGTCCCCCAGGAGAACTATGGAGTCGGTAGGCAGCGCCCTTTCCAGGACCCCTCCCACCGACTCCAAGAAGGCCGGATACTCTGAACTGCTGTTTGGTGCATAAGCACAAACCACAGTCAGAGCCTTGCTCCCCGCAACCCGTAGGCGCATGGAGGCGACCCTCTCGTTCTCCGGGGAGAACTCCAACACAGCGGCGCTCAGCCGGGGGCTCGTGAGTATTCCCACTCCCGCCCGGCGCCTCTCATCCTGGGCAACTCCGGAAAAGGACAAAGTCCAACCCCTCTCCAGGAGCTTGGTTCCAGAGCCAGCGCTGTGTGTGGAGGTGAGTCCAACTATATCTAGCTGGTATCGCTCCACCTCCTGCACCAGCTCTGGCTCTTTCCCCGCTAGTGAGGTGACGTTCCACGTCCCTAGAGCTAGTCTATGCTGCCGGCGATCGGCTCGCCCAGGCCTCCCGCCTGACCCGCCGCCCGGTCTTCATTGCACCCGACCCCGATGCTTGTCCCTGTGGGTGGTGGGTCCACAGGGTGGCTGCTCTATGCTGTTTATTTGGGCTGAGCCCGACCGGGCCCCATGGGCGAAGGCCCGGCCACCAGACGCTCGCCGACAAGCTCCCCTCCTGGGTCTGGCTCCGGGAGGGTGCCCCGGTTTCCCTGGTCCGGGCGAGGTGGCTGAAGTCCGTGGGCTGCTTACCATTAGGGTCGTTTTCAACCGCTCTTAGTCTGGGCTCTCCCCCGAGACCTGTTTGCCTTGGGAGACCCTACCAGGGGCTAATGCCCCGGACAACATAGCTCCCAGGATCACTGAGCCACTCAAACTCCTCCACCACGTTAAGGTGGCGATTTGCGGAGGATAAATACACATTCTTATAGTTTAATTATTTTTCCCATTAGCTTAATTTCTCATTGCACAGCTACTGTCTTCCTCAGTTGCTCTGCTTCCAGCCTGCAGCGCTGCTTCCAGTGCAGCTTATTTTAAGGAGAGCTTTTATCCAATCAGATTTCACCTCTATGTTGTCTCAAAGTAAAAAAATCTGCCCGGAGGCCTTCAGAATTACAAGTGAAACCCTTTGCAGTTTAAGTGAATGGGGACGATATTGTTGATTGTCATAGTTTTCAACCAATCAGATCTTTAGTTTGACATGTTGGGCGTATTCTTTGACATGTCAGAGCTTCTAGCTGGCCTAGCCATACGTGATTGGTCAGTGGACATGTTGGGTGGTGACAATCCCAATATCTGCTGCCTCTGTCGAGCGGACATTTTCAGCCTCAAACGCATTAAAACTTATTCAAGAAATACAACTGGGGAGGCTCGACTGTCTTCACTGGCGTCCATGAATCCAGAAAGACTTCTTACTGGAACTAAAACGCACGGATGTACTGAACAACCGTACGATTAAACTCTTTGTTATCAAAGAAAGGAGAATGGACTTTGTCTTTAAATAGTGAACAGCAGCTCTGGTAAGTTAAATGAGTTTGTTTTTACATCTGCAGTAGCTTTAATATGCTTGTTTATATATTATTATTTGTACAACTTGTTTTTATGAAGATGGTTTCATATGTGATAGGAGCTATTGTTAGGTCCTATGTTGCGCTGGGGCACACATTTAGTCGGTGCACAGCAACAAGAAGACACGTGATGCGGCAGAAGTCTATATACGTATATACTGCGCGCAAAGTGTTAAAGTTAAAGTTAAGTTTAAGTTAAAGTGTTTAAGTGATCATCTTTGAAGATTAGCATGTTTTCAAGTAGACTCATTTTCGCTCTCGGTGTTGACAGACAAATAAATCCGTCAGTAACAAGAACTAAGGTGTCGTGTATTTCCTGGAGGGAGTGAAAGCGTTACTACTGTGTCTATGGTGTCGTTTTCATGATATGGTTAATATTGTTCCCTCTGATGTGAATAATATTTGAATGGCTCGTGCTCTTCAGTCTGCGGTGGAATGCGTGTTGTAGCACAGTTTTGCACATTGATTTTGACTATATGCATTGTCCGTTAATGACGCAGCATTCCGTCATGCGCGTATTCATGTATCTGCACTCTGCAGTTAGTGTATTTTTAGGTGCTGAGCTTCATTTTTACAGAAAAGAAATAATAACCCGTAGCTGTGGCGTTATTAGGAGGTGGTTCAACTGTAGTAGGACAGCAGTGAAGGCCCAGGTATAAAACACACAGCCCGCCACTGATACACACATATATTCATATACATACACACACACACACACACACACACACACACACACACACACACACACACACACACACACACACACACACACACACACACACACACACACACACACACACACACACACACACACACACACACACACACACACACACACACACACATCTATGAGGCAATCTAGAATCACTCACTTCTTCCTTATGGTCTCTGATATGCTGCCCACATAGTCTGAGTCCGTCTGACGTGACAGGGGAGAGGAAAAAGAAGAAAGTCAGTGATTTAGGGGATTAGGCGATGCCCTTAGTCAAACTGGTTATACAAGGTCTTGAATACTTTTGCAATAGAGGTTGAGACAGCCTCATTGTGCTCACTCATCCAAGGCCAGACCTCGTATAACCAGTTTACATTGATAGGCAGGTTAAACAGCTTTGTGTCTGAGAGAGAGCAAAGGTTGTTTAGTGGCGCTGAATAGGAAAAAAATGATTCTTTCAAGAAACATGAAACGACCAAAATAGTTTGATATTGTTTTAAATATCAAATTTGCCCTAGCCCTTTGCCGAGGTTAGATAGTGCAGGGATTTTCAACCAGTGTGCGTGAGAGATCGTCAGGTGTGCCGTGGGAAAATGTCCAATTTCACTTCATCGGTCCAAAAAAATATGATTTAGTTGCTGCAAATAATTTGCCATTGTTGAGCATCTGAGCTGCAATATAGTGGCTGGCTAAGTAATTAAATACTCTTCCATACCAGTGGATGGCAGTAGGAAGCGCAATAATAATTCGACAAGACGAAGAGCAATGGAGAAATATTTGAAAAGGAAAAATGCAGACTCTGAACTGAGCCCTGGACAAAATTCTAACCCAGATGAAAAGCCTCGTATGAGTGGTGGTCAAAAGAAAGAAAAAATGGTGATCTTGAGGCAATACGGTTAAAGTTATCTTTCGTTTGGATTTACTTTCACCGGGGTTCCGACTGCACCGACTCCGTTATGCTGGGTGTGTGGGGAGAAGCTCTCCAACAGTGCCATGGTCCCAAGCAAGCTTATTAAACGTCATCTCCAAACAAAACACCCGTCACTTCAAAGCAAAACTTGGTGTGCCGCGGGATCTTTTGAATGTAAAAAATGTACGCGGCTCAGAAAAGGTTGAAAAACACAGAGATAGATGATTGATGCCACTCTCATGTCTTTATGCTAAATGTTAAGCTAAAGCCAGCAGGGGGTTAGCTTATCTTAGCATAAAGCCTGGAAGCAGAGTGACACAGCTACCCTGTTTCTGTCCAAAGTCACAAATTCTTCCTACCAGCACCTAAAGCTCACCAATTAGCATGTTGTATCTAGCTTGTTTAATGTAACCGCCTATTGGTTCTAGCTTAATATCTAAGGTAATTATATGACAGCTGTATTAATATTTTTATCTAACGCTTGGTAAGAAAGCAAATAGGCTACTTTCCCAAACATTTTAGCAAAGGAAAAAAAGGCTTCAGATTTAGAGGCCAACATGTGTGCATTTGTTTGTATGTGTCTCACCTCGGCAACAAAGACAATTATGAGGAGATCTTGTTGCTGCAAATATGTCAGGCTGTAGAGCAGAGAGCTGAGAGTGCTGACCAGGTAGCTCTGCTTCTCACGCTTCACTGTGGGAATGCCCAGCACCATGGACACTGAGGACACACCGACATAATGAGAAAGAAGGCACAGTAACAGTGAACAGTGCTGTTCCATAAGACAGGCTTCTCTTAATTTGACTCTCACTCATCCCCCTCACTGTACAATCATACTTTACTGCATATGAGGCGCTGTGTTCTTACGAAGTTGCTGGCTACTTTGCTATCATCTAGTGATGAAATTCCTAGGAATTTTTTACCTTTTTTATTTTTTAACATTTTCAAAATTAAATTGGTTTTGAAATAAAATCTTGAAATCTTTAAGCAAAGCTGAAACACAAAGAAGCATAATGGATTCATACGGTGTGTGTCTTTATGTTTGTGCTCCATACCTCCATGGCGTCCCTGTCCCAGGACTATGTTGGGTTGGAGGCTGTCTGGATGTTGTCTGAGGTGGGGCATGTAGAGGTAAATGTTGGGCTGGAGTAATGACTGTTGGCCTAAATAGTCTGCTTGCCGCCCTATTGTTTCTGTCCACAAGAGGAAAGAGGAATTAAGTAAATGAAAAAGTTTGCACTCAATATTCTAACAGGACTAAGTTTTTGTAAGATACTTGTAGAAACCATTACACAAATACACGGTGTTCCCATAGCTAAGGGAACCATTCACCGACCATGAACCACAGCGTCCCCATTTCAAGTCCAGCCAGAGAACCTTTGGTGCATTGTTCTCTCCCAATATTCCTTCAGTAAAAATATTCGATCAGGAGATTAGCATTAATGCTCCTTGGTCACCCATGCCCGATAACGCTACATTGTGAACCACAAATGTGTGTTGTCAGCACGAGGAGCGCTAGTTAACGTTGGCAGCACTGCTGGCTAACTTACTGAGGTTCCATTCAGTTCCATTAAGATGCGTTCAGGCTCTGTTCAGTGAAAATGAATATTGGGCAAAGGTAAATTATAACGTTATCGTGATGTGTTTAAATGCAATCTTGTAAACATGTAGTATTGGTGAATAATTTGAATAAATACAGTTATTGACAGAGATGTGTTCACAGTAATATAAAATAAATGAGGAAACGAGAGAGGCGAGGAAATTGTGACCCGTTTATCTTCCCAACACTAGCTCGAAGCAGCTTATAATACATCATTAAAACTACTAATGCAAAACAAGTTTTTTAGTAGTAAAAATACAATCTGTTATTTCCCAATCTTTGAATTGTGTGTTTTTATGCACAAAAAACCCCACTATAGATGACTAAAACAAAGATAGAGGATAAGTCTAGAATTTTAAAGGTTTACACTGGTTGAAATAGTTCTGGGACGATGGTGAAACAAAATAGTCTGTAGCCCTGTATGCCAGTTGCTATAATAAAACAAAAACTATCTGTATTGGGCAATATGGATCATCAAAGATCGGCAATTGGTATCGACAGTGCAATCGGGGTATCTCTAAAAGTTATATTTGCTCCCTTTTTTCTTTTGTCCTGATCCAATCTGAGATCCGTTACTGAAATCCATGATACGATCCAAACGGTGAGTTTTCTAATCCGCTGCACACCTACCATCTGGGCTGAGGTTAGTGTGTGTCAGTGAGACATGGGGCTGAAGTGATGTTGGGAGGGAGGGTCGAATAAGGGCCAAAAAAAAACCTTTGCCCTGAACAGATTAATAAGGCCATAGCTGTGAAGTAATAGGTTAACAGTAATAGTCAGATCAGTGGCAGTATTATGTAATATAGTGTTAACTGGTAAAACCTGTATCAGTTGTATGAAAATTATTGAAGAGGATTTGAGTGGGTGAACAATAAATCTCGGAATCCATCTGATAAAGGATAAACCTCTGGATATAAATGCAGAATCTATTTATTGTGATAAGTGAATATTAGCACCATATATTCTATAATAGAAATGTATTTTACAGGTTGAACTGAACTGCCTCTAGCACGTTTCATCACATGCTTGTTACTTTTGGTATGCACAGCACCTGCGGAAATGGTGGTGGTCCTGTTATAGTCGGGGTGGGTGATGTTGGCGGCTTTTGATATGTTCCTCAACTGTTCCAGGATGCTGCTGAGATCTGAGCTGACCTGCCCTCCCAACTCCTCAGCCACCACCAGGCGTTCGTACAGGGTCTGCAGGTCTGGCAGTGCTGATGGACCTGGAGACATTGAGACAAACGCAGAGAAGTAAGTATTAATCAAAATGCTCACTGTGTCTCATCAGATGGCCCTCTTGCTCTCAAAACTTCTCCAATCAGCCGTTCCTTCCAAAGCAAGCGACACGAATAGAAAAGTTCAGCTCAAAGCGGCGCGCTGTGCACTGCTGCATTGCTTGCAGCCTGTTAGGAAACGGTCTCATGCACATACTGCGCAATATTTGAGCTTTTGTTGGACAACTTTGACAGCCCTAGATCAAACTCATCTGGTCTTTCATTAATATTAGACGTAGTATTGCTAGTGTTGCTGCAGGTGAAGCTCAGCAACTGGGCTTGTAAAATGACACCTACATATTTAGGGTTCTTTAAAAGGTAGGTCTTGGTGAGAACCGTCTCAAATCAAGGTACATTACATCATTCAGGCGAGTATATTTTTTAAAGTTGTGGAGCAGGTTTGTTCTGGTAGAACACATGCATTTCCTTTATCAAATATTCTTTCAAACTTCTCAACATTTTGTAGAAAGCCCTAGAGCCAATAACCTACAGTGGCATTTTCAAATTGCTTCTTTTGTCCAACTAAAAATCCAAAACTCGAAAAGCAGCAAATCCTGACTTTTGAGAATGCAACTCAAATGCATCTTTGCTCGACAACACATTGCCTACATGTCATCTTGAAAAAGTAAGCAAAATGATGAGTCACTTCAGTAACTCAAAGGTCAAAGACATCCATAATCTTGATTTTGCACTGATAAAGAAATACAGAACCCAACTACTTGAGCCAATAACACACCTTGTGAACTTGTCAATTAATACAAAAACTTTCCCTGAAACCTGGAACACAGCCGTTATCAGTCCAGCCTTTAAATCTGGTGAGACTTGACATGCAATTACAGACCCATCGCCATCCTCCCAGTTGTCTCCAAGATACTGGAAAAAATTGTAGCAGAGCAACTCATAATACATCTAGAGACAAATCAGTTACTGTATCAACAACAATTTGGATTCAGACCCAAACATTCTACTGAGACTGCAAACTGCCATCTAATTGAAAAAATAGCAGGTCTTTTGGATAAAGGTCATGCTGCGGGAGCAGTTTTATTAGCCTTAAAAAAGGCTTTCGATACCGTTAACCACAGCATGCTGATATGAAAACTTCCCAAATACCAGATTTCTGATCATGCCTCACAATGGTTTGACTCGTACCTCAGGGGAAGAGTACAATGTGTGAGAGTCAATGGGGAAAAGTCCACCATCCGTGCCAATAGCATGGGGATAACCCAGGGGTCGGTTCTAGGTCCATTGCTATTCAGCATGTACATCAACGACCTACCCGAGAGCTGTCCTGGGGTTGGCTGCCAAATGTATGCCGATGATAGTTATTCATACATCTTCCAGAACATCTAGCAAGGCCGCTGACCAGCTTACTGAATCCTTACATTCTGTATCGCAATGGCTTTGTGTATGTATTTTCTTTCTTCTTTAACTTTTCTTAAAAAGCCTCCTGTGGACAGGTGTTGTAAATTAGCGTTTCGCTACAAACACTAAACACAGTGCATCTGGTCTCTGTGCATAAATGTATGTTACAATTCTAATGCCACTGTGATGTCCATATCAAATAGAATAAAATAAACATGTCTGGCACTTCAACTGACTTTTAAAGTCCAGGAAATTTTAACTTTTTTCATCCCCTTTCACCTTAACGGACACCTCAATTTAGGGACGGACTCGGAATGAGAAATGGCCCTGAACTTTTTCTCCAAACTCAAACCTTTCTTATCTTGACCCTATTCTCTGCTGTCCTACCGCATCAGCTGCAGAATCTTGACGAACAAGAAGAACTTGTATTGCTGGGCTCACCAGGCTTTTCTTGTCCAGTGCCTCCAGGTTCACTAGGGTGGGAGCATTTACGCCAATGGCTCCTAATGAATAATTAGTTATTTTAAAACTTTTAGCTGCACTCCCAATACTCCAGATGGCCAGTCATAGGTGCTTCACTTTATTTTGCAAATGCATGCAGTATTTCACTAGTAAATAATTTACATTTTAACCTGTTTACAACTGAAATTCCAACTGCTGTCACTGTTTACATACGAACACTGACACTGATACTGACACTATTGACTGTGCACACACTTCAACTATCTCAATTCAACTGGTAATCCGCTGCTTTCATCTCTATCTCTTGAAGCGAACTGTTTTCATCTGCTTTCAGTGCTTATTTATAAAATTAAATTTCAATAATTAACATTTTAGGACATTCAAAACAGGGAAGAAAACTTTGGTTCCCCTTGTACAAAGTCTTCAATTGGGTCATCATGGGCAGGAGTGGTCAAAGGACAAAAGAGATTGGCCCTCCCTCTTTTCCAATCCCTAGAGGTTGACAGTGTCCTCCCGCTGTCAAACTTCTTCGCTCCACTTGGTGATTTACCATGACAATAGTTCATTTGCTCCTGTGTCAATTTGACATCTACCATGAGAAGGAAGCACACGGCTAGCCCCATAAGAGGTGCAATGTCCAGTACTTCCCAGCCCAAACGTCTGAGGAGGTCATCCCCTCCAGGTCCAGGGTCCCGTCGTCTGGAGGCCCCCTCTACCCCTTCCATCTGGAGAGAGTGGGCCCCGTCTGTCTGCCTGCCCAGTCACCTTCCCAAGTGGCATGGCAGTCTGGTCTGCCTCTTGTTGAAAATGCACCTGTTATCAATGTCAGGGGAAAAGAAATCTTGCCATGTATCGATGCAACGTCTCAGATCAGGAGTTTCTGCTGTTGGGAGACTCAATTGTTCCTTATGTGGAACTCCCCAGGTGCTTAACATAGTGTTTCTCTGGTGCAAACAGATTGGATATAGCTCACTATATCCCAGTATCTGCCCATACAGTCTTCATCCACATGCGTACAAATGGCATCAGGTATAAGCAATCAATCAAACTCCAACAACAACTGCTTGCTTTAACTGTGAAAAGGCTTCAGGGGATGAGTTCTGCCACCGGTTTTAGCTTTATTGATCACTTCGATGTATTTTGGAATAGGAGAGACTTATATAGGAGAATGGTCTATATAAGCTCACCCTAACAAAAAGGAAACGAATGTGCTGACAGCTAATTTTGGACAATACCTGTCCATGGTGACAACCCAGCACAACCCCCCCTGGTCAATATTCACATGATTCTCAAGTAAACACGATAACAACCACTGGGAGTAGAAGAACAACCATAGTGCAGTTGATGAAGCAGCACACAAATACAGGTAGGCTGTATCCAATCAAATCACAATCTCTTGCACCAGTCAACTCTGCCCAAGCAATTCAAATGACTCTTCTAAATGTGAGATCACTTATAAATAATTATTTTGTATGTTATAATTTTTGGATCTAATCTTCATATCCTCATAATCACAAAATCTTGGCTGACACCAAAAGGTCTTGTTAGACTACTCGAAGCTTGTCTACCTGATTATTGTTTGTTAAACCAGCCCAGACTAACAAACAGTGCAATATAAAGACAGCTTCAAATGCTCAAATATTGATCTATGACTGGTGGACCTAGAAGTGCCCTGCCGAGATTCGATAAGATGCTTATCTTGGAGACTTTAACCTTCTAAGAGCCACATGCAGTTAAAAATTACGCGTGGGTTGAAACGTTTTTCAAAAACCCACACTGTCGACCGGTACAAACAAGTTCATCAATGTAACTTTACTAGTTTCTCGCAGTTTTTATGAGAACAGATGAAGACAAATTGTTCCAGACCAACAAGTTATGCTATCTTGGTAGTAACAGCAGGTTACACTGACAGTTTACCTCCATCACTGGGAATCGATTTAATCCAAGTAATTGACGCAATACACGCAAAAACCAGCAGACATCCAAATCTGAAGGAGTAAAGCCTCATTTCATTTCTCAGTGACAGTCCGTCCGTCTTTGTCTACCGACTTGCCGCCGGTTCCCAGCATGCAGCAGGTGGATGTGAGCGTGTCAGGTAAAGTGCAGGTAATGTTGCGCTGTATGCTAACAGTTGTGACTCTACCCGATACCTGGACCAAACAAAACCAAAGCGCGCCCTTTACTATCCTTTTCCTTTCCGGGGTGTGAACTGCTACATCAAGTACAGCTCATGTTAATATGCCGTCAAACTTCCTGCTGTACCAATGGCCAGGTAAAAAAATGAATGTACGGGCAACAGCGACAGCTGCTGGTGGATTGAGAAAACGCGTGGCCTGTCAATCGTGACTTGAAGACTATACTAGAAACAAATTTAAAAATATGAATTATTCAAATGCTTTTAAAAAACTTTTGTAGTTGTTTTATAACCCAACGTTACATTTCCAGCACAAATTACAAAGCCTGTGTGACGTTACAACAATTGAGATGAAAGTTAGATTATAGAAATACACTGTCTTACTATGTGTAACGCTTCTTTTCTTCCCCTTTAATTGCATACAATCCATTTTTTAGGTCTTCCAACCGATTCAAACACTAAATATACTGATATTTTCCCTTTTACCAGCTATTTATAATACAGTGTAGCCTGAGTTCAACGTAGGGGATGTAGCTCAGTGGTAGAGCGCATGCTTTGCATGTATGAGGCCCCGGGTTCAATCCCCGGCATTTCCAAGATATCTTTTCTCAGGTGTATTTATGTTATGCTCTCTCAGGCCTGTGGATAATATTTTTCAACTATCCCAGTAAGCACCAACCGGGATTTCAACATTGATTTGTAATTGAATACTGGGTGATATTCGGTCTGTACGTCTCAGACCTATTTTTGCTGTCTTTTCAACCGGCTAAATTGCGGAAACAACATCAACGTGTCACAAAACACACATTTTATCATTCTCTACATTGTGATAATAATAGTATATCATCATTTTAGAGGCTAACTATGAAACCACATACACTTTTCTCAGTTGAAAGCCAATATTGCAAATTCAGGTGAAATATGGTCTAAACGTGAACGTCTTTTAACCATCACCGTATTTTAAACGTCTTTTGAACTTCAAAATGCTCATAGTAAAATATGTAGCAATTAAATCATAGTCATAGTAACACAGTTTCCACTTACAGGACAAAGAAAACCATGTGACACAGGGAACAATTAATAAGCATTTATTCAGCAATAATTTAAATAAAACATGAACAATGTTCTCTAAATATAACCTAGGAGCCGGTTTCAAGTGGTCTGCCATTTTAAGGTGGACATCTGTAAATAAAGTATTAGAAAGAAATATTCAATTTTGAATCAGTTTTGAACGTCTTTTCACCGGTGACTATAGTCGTTTTTTTCTATGGAAAGATGCTCACTGGGATATTACATATATCATACTGTACACCAGTAAAGTTCAGTTAAAGTTCAACGAGATCCATTTAAAGAGAATTTCCTCATCAAAGGTCTGGAACATCACAATAATGTATAATTTGCGATGATTTAGTCCCATATATATATCGAATTAGCCAACAGTTGTATTAGCATCTGTATGTAGTCAACAACTGGCTGTCAGATGAAATAAAGAAAGTGCAATTGAATAATATCTCAACAATATTTCTTTTCAGATTTCAAATTAAACTAGATGAATTATAAATAATACATAATCTAATAATAAATAAATGTTCTCTCATTTGAAGTAAAATAAGGTCTGGATTAAAGAATAAACTACATATCAGAAAGCTTTTGAAAAATTTGCATCTTAAAATAAAGTAATTCATTCTCGAAAAATTTATTTCACTGAATTATCTTTGCCCTGCAGCTTTAGATTCAGTTCATTCAGGTGTGAAGGGATGTGAACCAAAAAAGCCACAATATTATATTTTTCTCATCTTCTAAAAAGAGAAATGTGTGTGCATGGACTTTATCTCTAGTTATTGAAACCACTTGTTTCAGCTCTATTCTCTCTGTTAACATCATTGTTGGTCAGTGAATTCATGTGTTAGGATTCTGATCATATTGGGCTCTTAAGTTGTTTATTATCTGTGACTTCATTTCAGATGTGAGTGGGGACGTTTGCTAAAAAGAGTTGTGCTTTGTCTCCTAGTGGCGCTTCACATTACTGCTTTTAATTATCGCCATGGTCTCTGAACATGTGAGACACACTGGTTTTAAACTGCCCATGTGAAGAATTAACATATAAGAGTCTGTCCATTCTTGGTTAAAGACTCTGGTCTCTCTGGTCTCTTTGACCACTTTTCTCTTTTGGAGAACGTCATGTGAAATTACTTCTCTGACTCACATAATTCTCCTACTCTTCGTTCTCTTTCCTCGTCTCTCCCCTGTTGTATACACATAATTGATTGGCTGAGCAGCATCACGTGATGTGATTTACAAAGCATGTAATTGGTCGGTGTGTTTCCTGCACCACTGAACGAGTGCCGTTTTAAATTGGCATTCATGTCCAGTTTTAGCCATCTCCAACCTCCCTTTTCTGTCTAAAATACTGGAACGCACTGATGCCCACCAACTCAAAACCCACACATCACAGCACAGAAACGGCCCTAATCAAAGTCACCAACGACCTCCTCCTCTCCTCTGATGACCACTCCCTCAACATCCTAATACTACTCAACCTCAGTTCAG